TTCTTGTTATTGAGAATGACTCATGGAAATGTGGAAATAACATTGTGAAATAAATGCTCTTTCCCAGATGAGCTGTCATTCATTGCCTAATGCAAGGGACTTACAGAATCCAATAGCCTTATAAAAGGCCATGTTTTGATCTCAGTTTTTGGAAGTTTTTGACATTTCTGACTTCAAAGGGACTGGCAACTAAAATATAAAATTCTAGTAGAATCCATTAAGACTTAAAGAACCACAAAATATCCTGAGTTCGTAAGAACCCACAAGGATCACTGAGTCTAACTCCTGGATCTTCAGAAGACACCCCAAATCCAAGCATTTTCCAGATACCTCTTCAGCTCTGATAGGTTGGTACCATGACATAGGGAATCTGTTTCATGCCTGACCACAATCTTGTGAAGAGCCCTTGCCTAACACCCATCTTGACCCTCTACACACATTTTGTCCGGTAGAATCTTCACCATTTTCTTAGCCCCCCTTTGGATATTGTCTAATAGTTTCGTATCCTTGTATTGTGGTGCCCCAAACTGCAACCAGTGCTCAAGGTGAGATCTTACAGCACGGAAAAGAGTGGGACAATCTCTTGGCAGCTCTGAACTTAGTGGTCTCCGGGGTATGGTTTTACCTTGTTGGCTGCCATGGCATGCTGATGGCTCATGTTCAACTTGCTGTCAACCACATTCCCTTTCTCAGAATGTGATGCAGGAGGAAAAAAAAAAGGAATTTAGTGAAAACCACAAATATGTATGTTGAATAGGCTCATGTGGACTAAGCTTTACAGGCAGGCATCTGGCTTTATCCCCAACGTCATTGGTAACATACTATTTTTATTGAGCCATAAATAGGCTTCACAAACTAGCAATACTCCATCTTGTTTACTGACTTGACTACAAGGTAGTCAATACAGAATCCTGGAAATCTCTTCCTTGGATTGAATCATAGAATCATAGAATCACCAAGGTTGGAAAAGACCTCTAGGATCCAGTCCAGCAGTACACCTATCATTAATATTTCCCTCTAAAGCATGTCCCTCAGTACAACATTTAAATTTTTCTTGAACACCTCCAGAGACAGTGACTACACCACATCCCTGGGCAGCCCGTTCCAGTGCCTGCCCACTCTTTCAGAGAAGATATTTTTCCTAATGTTCAGCCTGAATCTCCCCTGGAACAACTTGAGGCCATTCCCTCTAGTCCTGTCACTAGTTATATGGGAGAAGAGGCTGACTCCCACCTCATCACAGTCTCCCTTCAGTAGTAGTAGTTGTAGAGAGTGATAAGGTCACCCTTGAGCCTTCTCCAGACTAAACAATCCTGGTTTCCTCAGTTGCTCCTCATAAGGTTTGTGCTACAAACACCTCAAATGCCAAGAGAAACTAAAAATATCTAAGAGATTCAGTTATGTGGAAGAAGTGGACGTGATCAGCTGTTCTTTTGAAAGGTACAACTGCACTCTGATCTGTGTGAAAGATAGGTGGCAAGTCTTATTATCCCAGTGATCGGTCTTGAATTCCTTTAGTACATCTTTATCAGTTTGCTGCAGCTTCAATAGTTTACACAACACTTCCTCCTTTAGTTCAGGCAGGACTCAGTACCTCAATCTTTATGAAGAACTTCTTTCTATTTTGTAATTCTGTGTCTCATACAGCTAAATCTTCTTGATAAAACTTTGCTTATCAAGAAACTATAGAGCTCAGCTATATTAAGAGTAAATGAAGACTTTTTTTCTGCTCTTTTCTCCTATCCTCTTTTTCATTGCCCTGAAGATGACGTATTAGAAGTCTGATTTAACTCCCAAAACAATTCATGAACAAACTAATCAAGGGACAGAAAAGTGATTCTACCGGTGCTTTGTGAGTTTAATCTACACATTCACAAATTTTGAAATAAATATTGATATAAAAGATGGGATGAAATGCAGCACTATGCCAAGTACAACCCATTTTGGAAAGCAGTCCTTTGATTATTAGATTGGTTTCAAGGGAATCCATATAGATGTGTTGAGAAAGCAAAACACAGTTCCTAAATTCTGATTTCCCATGCCCATACATTGTATTTCTTGTCAAATTATGGTGAAGAAGAGATTAGAGGAGTAAATAAAATATAATTACAACTTTATTTTCCATCTTGTTCTCCCTTTCTGGCACATCCCCCATACTTGGCACTGGTGAGGCCTCACCTCAAGTACTGTGTTCAGTTTTGGGCACATCAGTACAGAAAGGACATTGAGGTGCTGGAGCAGGTCCAAAGAAAGGCAGCAAGGCTTGTGAAGGACTTGGAGAATATGTCCTATGAGGAGAGACTGCAGGAACTGTGGCTGTTCAGTCTGGGGAAAAGGAGGCTGAGGGGAGACCTTATTGCTCTCCTCCAATATCTGAAAGGTGCTTACAGCGAGAGCGGGGTTGGTCTCTTCTCACTGGTGACAGGTGGCAGGATGAGGGGAAATGGCCGCAAGTGGCATCAGGGTAAGTTTGGGTGGGGTATCATGAAACACTTCTTTGCAGAAAGGGTTGTTAAGCACTGGAATAGGCTCCCCAGGGAGGTGGTTGAGTCACCATCCCTGGATGTGTTTAAAAACCGTTTGGATGTGGTGCTCAGGGACATGATTTAGTGGAGAGTTGTAAGAGTTAGGGTAGTATGGTTAGGTTATGGTTGGACTTGATGATCTTTAAGGTCTTTTCCAACCTGAGTGATTCTATGATTCTAAGATTCTGTGATCCTTTACCATGATTCTTGTGCAGAGTTGAAGTCAGGAAAACCAAAGTGTAGACAGAATTGAACTTAGTGACAGATGTGAAAAACAACAAGAAGGATTCTTAAGATTCACAGAGGAGAAGAGACAAGCAAAGGAAAGTGTACCTTCTCTGATAAATGAAAAGTGAGAGCTAGCCTCCTCTGACAGGGAGAAGGCTGATGTACTTAATGAGTTCTTTGTCTCGTTCTTCACAGCCAGCCAAGCTTCTCACATCTCTTGCATCCCTGAACTTCTAAGCAAGGGTCAGGGAAGCAAAATCACTTCCAGTCTAAGAGCAGAGCCAGTCTAAGACCACCTCATAAAGCTGAATGTGTACAAGTCTCCTGGCACATGGATCAGTTTCAGATAGTTGGATCTGATATAAGATATGGACTGTGGTGTAGTTTTTTCTTTACTAGAAGTCAAGTTGTATGTTTCCTTGGCTTAAACAATGCATGGTACTCTTCAGAATAAGTGAATAACCAATGTAATATCCTTGTTGTAATTCCTGTCTTGTACATAAACTGTCATTTCAAAACAAACCTGCTGAGGCTTTTCCTTATGAAGACATTTGCAGGTTGAAAAAGTGTATGTCATTGTAAAGATAGGGATTTGACAGAGAAAGGAGAGAAGCCTTCCCCAGCAATGGGACATCTCTATGGTGGCTTGAAATACTTGCTGCTTTGTTATGTAGTTTTGGTGTTTGCTCCATGTTGGTTCTCCTACGGCACATGTCACCGTGGTGTCTGTATGAGGGAAGAGCTGAAAGAGGAGAAATCCTCACACAATTATAGAATGACCAAGGTTGGAGAAGACCTCTAAGATCATCCAGCTCAACCACTCACCTATCACTAATATTGAAGTTACTACTGCGCTCTTCTTTCCACTCCTCTGCTCAATGTTCATGGTATAAACCAAAACATTCCCACTACAAAAAGTTAAAGGAAGTATCAGTGATCTTCAAAATAGTTAAAACGCAATTGTCATTGAATGTATTGAACTAGTTTTATTGTAAAGCTTAAACAAAATTCCTCTCTTCTGCCCCCACACCCCCAAAAATAACCAACAATACTCAAGCAAAAGATTGTTGTAGAGTAGAGGATGCTGAGTAGCAGTATGTCTTGCAGATTGTGAAGCTTCTTAAAAGAAGTCAGTTCATTGCTAGTTTTGCGGGAATTTCACACTATGTTGAGCTTCAACAATTCAACAATGATCACTTAGGACTCCAATAACACCTGGCTGAGTCAAAGCTGAGGAAATGCAAGAGTCTGTTCCTCTTGTGTGCAAAGATTCCTTTGTTTTGGCAACCTTTAAATTCAATGTATAAGGTAAGTCTTAGTTTGAGAATAATTAGATATTTGGAAGTGTTAAATACTGCTCAATTTACTCATAAAAATACTGATGTTTTCTTCAGTAGACCTAATTCTGAGAATAGAAGCAATTATTTCTTGTGATTATTCCTGAAGTTAGTTGAGGCTCTGGAAATACATAGTGAAGAAAAACTATGATAAACAGATGTGATGACAAGGAGAAGACCCTATCAAGCCAGAAACTTAAATGTCTGGCCTCGTTTAGGAGGTACAGGAGTAGTTGTGTTGCTTTACTTAAGCAAAGATGATCCCCCTGACCTTTGCAGAGCCACTGGTGTGCGTGAAGCAAAAGACACTTCAAAGTGCCTTGCAAAATGGACAGATGAGGAGTCCTGCCCAACTAGAAAGTGGAAGTAAAACCCTAAAGCTGTATGTACAGCACAGGAGACGCAGAGAATCATAATTACATTCACTAGTATAGGACCAAAATACGCAAGAGCTGCTTCCTTTTGTGAATGAACTGAGACGTTCATTTACAACATTTTCTGTTGTTGTCTGCTTTTAGGCCAACAGTTTCCTCTTCCTTGCCAATAACCAGCAGCAGCTCACATGGATTTTTAATATATGGAATCATGTGGATGTTATTTAGTTTCCGAGAGTCTGAAGTTACATTCAGGTACTTGAGTTAGATCTTTGAATACTTATCAAAATAGGTATTGTAATTCCCTGAATTGATCCAAAGATTTGCTTAGTGAGGCCCCACCTTCTGTACTGGAAATTGGTTTGAGGGCTGAGTGCACCAAAAACAAAGCAATCCAAGGAGATGCATGAAGGTGGGCAGCAGTGGACACTTGTCTCGCTGCCAATAAAAATGTCTCGCTCCAATTTATAGGAGGGAGATGAGGTTCTTTAATATCTGTATACCCGGCGTGAGATTAAGAAACAACGGTTCATATATTGTTCCATCCAATTTATTACTAAGACCTAATCAGGGAGACGGGGAAGGGAAGGAGTGCGATAGAAAAGATGGAAAAGAAGCAGGAGTTGCGTAAAGCGGGGAGAGTCACCAGCAGGATCCAGCAGCCGTCCCGTTGCACGGTGTTTGAAGGTCCCGGGCAGAACGCAGCAGAAGACGGGGAGCAGCAGCGTGGCCGGCCTTGGGCAGCAGGCAGGTAGACGAGGAAGTCGAAGAGCCAATTCTTGAAGCAGCAACAGCGGTCAGGCAGCAGGCTCAGGAGAGTTCAACAGTATGCAGGAATCCCCTCAATCTTCAGGAATCCCTCTCTCTCTCTCTCCCCTTTATGAGGAATCTATTGTCAGAAACCTCCATTCTTCTTCATGAGGAATCTGTTGTCAGAAACCTCCCGTTCTTCTTGAGGAATCTGTTGTCAGAAACCTATCCTCGTGGTTTTCAGTTCCTCTTTTATCCTCCTTGTTCTCCTGCCTATGTGACAAGGATGGGCCTTGAGCAAGAGTCATTGAGTACCCCCTGAGATGGCCATCATCCGGAGATAGGTCCACACAAAGGAGCACTTCACAGCTATTTAGCTGCAGTTCATCTCGCTCTCGTTGCCCCTGGCCTTGCCCATCTGCGTTCCCCCAGAAAAAGGATTTCACCACCTTTGCCTAGGGCTTGCCTGGCCTTGTCCATCTGTCTCCTTAAGACAAAGGTTTTCACCGTCCTTGCTCGAGACTTGTCTGGACTTGAACAAGTCCATCTGTGTCCCCAGCAAGCTTTGAGACACAGAAGTTAACAGAATAATAACTTACAAAGTAGTATCTTACAACACTCCAGACAATATTCAGGAACTGTTTGTTGCAATGAGCTTTAGAAGAAGATATAAAGCATTCTCCTTTAGTTTACCACATGCTTGATTTACGCTCTCTGCCTGTTTTCATTATCCCTCCTAAATGAGCAGTGCCCCAAAGCCATCAATTGGGTGGGCTAACATAATACATTGTTCCCTAGTGCTTGAAAAACGTTGCCTTCCTCTATTAGTAGATAGGTTGAAATAATGAATTATATAGCAACAATGGATGTAATGACACTCCTCATACCTAAGAAATGGTTTCAAATCACACCACTTGAGTCCTTTTTACTATCCAAAACAATCTTCTGCTTCGCCAAAGGATCAGCTAACTACTTCTGTACCTTCTTTGACACCAGCTGAAAGCACAGAGAGCCTGGGGCTGTCCACTGGATTCCTCTCATTGTCTCAGCAGAGCAGCTCAGAGGACCCCAGTCCAGTCCTGCATTCTTGTTATGGCTCACCTGCAGCCCAAAGAGAGCTTGAGACCATCCACTAGGCTCCTCTTAGTCCTGGCGCAGCAGCTTAGAGGACACCAGTCTTAGTCCTGCTGTCTTCCCCAGGACTTGCCTGGAGGCTACAGGGAGCTCAGGGAGCTCAGGGCTGGACTGTGTTCTGGCACAGCAGATCAGAGGGCACTAGACTCAGTCTGCCCCATTCCTTGGGACTCACCCAGTGGCAGCAGGGAGATTGGGGTCATCTGCTGTTGTCTTGACACAGAAGCTTATAGGACACCAGTCCCAGTCCTTCTGTTTTCCTCACAGCTCGGGGAAGAACAGATGAGAGGTCTTGGGTGAGGATGAGGATAGAGCATAGGGAATAAGGGGCTATGGAGAGCAGCGGCTGGCCTGAGGGCTCTCTGGCAGATGGTGACTCTTCAATGCTGAGATGGAGATTGAGAACTCCTGTTGCACTGCCAATGGATATGGCGATGTCTCTTGGCAAGCATGACTTTACAGTACTTGCCTTGCCCAGACAGATGGATTCATCTTGGTTGGTTCTTCCTCTGGAAGATCCATCTCCATGGGCTTGGCATCACCAAGAGTGATCTACATCCTTTGATGCTGCTCTCTAGAAGCTGAAGCTTCTTAGGTGGAGGAGGATCCATCTTCCTCCGCAAGAGTTCCCACAGTGGGAGGAAAGAATCTATCTGAGCAGCTCCTTGTCTCAGCTAGGTACTTCCCGGAGAGAAGTCAGTTAGTGACTGGTGTTCTGCTGCCATGATCCCCGTATTTTTAGTGGTTGGTGGGGAAGTGGCTAGTGACATCATAAGGTTATGGCGACATGTCCCTAGGAATGTCCCACAACCAAAACATGGCTGTGTTGAGTGAGGGGAGGCTATGGCCTGAGAGTTGCGCTACTTGTCACCCATGGGATTTTGCGGGGCTCCATTTTAGGTCTGGTTCTCTTTAACATTTTTATTAGTGACTCCAATAAAGATCTGGAAGTTATACTAAGTAAATTTGTTAATGATGCTGAATTGGGAGGAGCGTTCACTTCATTGATGCTAGAGAGGCCTTGCACGAATATCTTGACAAACTTTAGAGAGGTCATCATTTGCATGAAGAGCAAGTGCTGGATTTTGCAACTGGGATGGGGCAGCCCTGGATCTAAATACAGACTGAGAGGTGAGAGGCTGGAGAGCAGCCCCACAGAAAGGGATCTGAGCATCCTGTTTGGAGGCAAATGGAATCTGAGTCAGCAGTGTGCAGCCAGTAAGGTCAACCGTAGCTGGGTTGCGTCAGGCCCAGCACTGCCAGGAGAGGGAAGTGGCTGTTCCACTCTGCTCTGCGCTGTGCGGCCTCGCCTGCAGCGCTGGGTGCAGGTTGGGTGCCACTATACTAGAAGAATATAAAGGTGTTAGAGAGCATCCAAGGGAGGGCTAGAAAGGTGGGGAAGCATCTGAGGGCAAGGGATGTGAGGAGCAGCTGAGGTTCCTGGGTTTCCTCAGCCCAGAGCAGAGCAGAACAGGCTTAGGGAAGGCCTCGTGAGAGCGTAAATGTCCAAAATATGACCAAGATCATTTTTCTTGAAAGGCAAGTCTGTGGTGGAAAATTTCAGGAACATTTTGGAATATTCCAGAATACTGGAACTGTACAATGTTTGCACAGACCATCTTAAAACTTTCCTTGTTGGTATTTTACTCAGGCAAAAGCAAACTTTTTGCCTCTCTATGTAGCAGCTTATGCTCCTTGGGAACTTGACCCAGTAATGTAAAAAGCAAAGTGTTTCTTCTTTACTGTGCTCATGTTCTTGTCTCAAAGAAATCAAAGAAAAGCCCAGGGGTAGAGAAGCAATCTATATTGTGACAATATAATCCAGTTTCATAATGAGACACAGATAGTTTTGGGATGTAAAAATGTCTAGAACCTGATTTTGGTTTTGTATATATTAAGGAATCATAGAATAAGAGACAGAGAATTGTCTCAGGGAACATGGAAGGAAAATTATCCTGATAATTTTCAACCTGTCAGCCCTTTTCAAGTTAAGAGTCCTATGGTCTTTCAAATAATGCCAACAAAAGCCCTTGTGCAGTAGCATTTTGTGACTTATCTTACAATCTAACTGCAAAATTCATTCTTCTGTGTCAAAGACTAGGTAAATTAAAAAAAAAAAAAAAAGTACTGAAATTCCATAGACGAAGTAGTAGATTGCAAGGGTTACACACAGAAATGTTAATTGTAGGTTTTCACTGCTTAATCTGTTAAAAAATATACTCAAGTCATTTTCTCCAATGTGCAGTGAAGTGCTTTTGAACATACTTTTTTTGGTCCAGGCAGTGATGTACCTAGGGAACTGACAGTATCAGAATGGCTGACTCGCCAGCTAAATTCAGAATCAATGAGAGGACTGAAAAGAAGACATGTGAGAGTGAGTCATGTAATAGGTAGAATAACAGGGAAAGTTTTAAATAGAACACAATAGATAAACAGTATCAGAAGAGGGCCAACACGTATCTCTATCTCTTTGATCATATTAATGGCCCTCCCTTGGTCCCTCTCCAGTCTGACCATGTCTTTTTTCAAACTGTGGGGATCAGAACTGCGACTGTACTCTAGATTACAGTACACTAATTATCTCTTCAAGGTTTTGTTGTTTGGCTGTTTTTTTCACAATTCACCTTTACAAAAAATAGCAAATCTTAAACATGATTAATTAATGAGTTTATCTTTTATTTGGATGAACTATTGGATAGTGCTTTCTAAACTACTCTTGCTTCTATAATGAAAGTCCTGTGTCACAATCTACAGCAGCATCTAGTCAAATAAATAAATCTATAAGTAATACATCAATTATTTAAATTATGATGCAATTAAACACAGTAGTGCTTTCAGCATAGACAAAATGAGTGTGATTGTTAGTGAGAATGAAAGGAATCAGAGCTTGTCTTTCAATACTTAGGGCTCAAATTCTCAAAAAATAAGAGGTTAATTTTTGCATCCCATTAGATATTGGGCTTTTGAGTAATATTAAAAATAATTGTTTAAAACTATCTCTGCAACAACTTGTAAGCATAATTAAATCCTTTTATATCCTGAGTCAAAAGTGTATTTTTTATTTGATCAGAGCATAGTGCTAGATTCCAAATAAGGGATCTGAAGATATTAGAATTGTATATAGGTGAAGCACTGATCCATTCAAAATTAAATGGGTTATGTTTTTTTCAGCAAAGACAGAACTTCATTATCTGATTTACGTCCTTTAAATTTGGATAGAACCTGAGATTCCTGGATGGATTATGTCACTCAGAGTAGTTAATGAGATTGTTTTCCTGCTCTCTATATCTTTTTTAAACTGTGATATTTTTTCAGTGGTGCAGTCACAAATTGGTAGAATTACAGTACCATAATCATAATTGCATTTTACTAGCAGCTTGTATATAACAACAAAAAACACCTGGAGTGTTCTAAAAGACACAGTGGTAATTGCATCAAAAGGGGCCTTTCAGCAGGAAGAGAGAGGTGATTGTCCCCTGCTGCTCTGCCATAGCAAGGTCCCATCTGAAGTATTGTGTACAAGTCTGAGGTCCCCAGCACAAGAGAGACATGGAGCTGTGGAGCAGAATGGCTGTGGACATGATCATTAGAGTGACGGAGAATGTCTCCTATGAAGAAAGGTTGGGGGAACTTGGCTTGTTCAGCCTGGAGAAAGAAGGCTCTTGGAAGACCACTTTGCTGCCTTCCAGTATTTAAAGGGTGCTTGAAAAATGAAGAGGGACTTTTACAAAGGTATGTAGTGATAGGACCATGGGTAATAGTTTTAAACAAACAAACAAAAAAAGGTAGCCTACATATTAGAATTAAATTATTTACTGAGAAGTTGGTGAGGCAGTGGAGCAGACTACCCAGAGAAGCTGTGGAGCCCTATCCCTGGAGGCATTCAAGGCCAGGTTGGATAAGGCCTTGGGCAGCCTGATCTAGTGGGTGGCAACCTCGGACGTGGCAGGGGGGTTTAAAATGGATGATTTCTAATGTTCCTTCCAACCCAAACCTTTCTGTTTCATATTTGTATGATTCTATGAAAAATGTATTTAATTGGAGGAGCTGTTATTCATTCAGTGAAGTGGATCTGAACATTCTGACTAAAC